TTTTTTTTTTTTGGCTCTCGCCCCATTTTCCGCGCAGACAAAACACCGAATCTTTGCTTCCAAACCCCACGGAAACGCTTGCTACGCAGGCTAGATTTAAATAAAAATTCAGGCTCACCCTAGACTAAATATGCTCTAATCATTATTTGCTGAGTCACCAAGCACTAAGCTGGCCTATGAACATAAAACAATAGCCCTGCGGATGCTTAAACCCGGCCTGGCCACGTTTCTTAGTAGACTGGCCTTTCTGGTACGGGCAAAGGTTTAATAACCATTATTTTATTCGTTTTTAGGCAAAAATGCGGAGTCAGAATGCCGGTCTTGGGTTGAAAGGAAGCAGTTATGGCGCGTCCTCTTCGGATTCTTATCGGGACAAACTCAAAAAACTGGTGTGTGCAATTGTACTCTATACTTTAGCTGAAAATATTATTGTCTACGTTTCTTCTGATGCTGCTTGTGAGAATTCAGTGGTATCTCACTACAATTTTGACACAGTAACAATGTTAATGATGCAGAAAAACATGCACAAAAAAAGAGAGAAGGGTGAAGCAACTTTTAGATTGATTGGAGTTTATTTTAATTAGACTTCTGGTTTTCCTTTTTACTTCAGTGATTCTAAGACATTGTCTTTCTTTCCTTTACAGGCACGATCACGCTTTAACGATTCTTAACAGATGTATGTGGATTCCCAGCTATCAAGTGGGCCAAAGTTGTCCCAGGAGTGTCCTCCAGAAGTTGAACTCGAGAAAACGGAGAGTCGGGTCGCCGCGTTAAAAACTTCGACGAAGAACCTGGAGAAATTCAGAATTTCCACAGATAGTTTGAGCAGTCGCGCTCATGAGAAACGAAATCTTTGTTCGCTCACTTTCTTCGCTTAGAATATGGCCGAATGGGCAAGCCTACAAGATTTGCCGTTGTTGGTTATCTCGTCGTTTTTGTAAGTTATTGGTTGAAAGGAATGAGAATATTGGGCTCCCTTGTCATTGATGTGTAGATGAGGATGAACACTGTAGATAAAAAAAAATAAAATTATTGTAATAAACAGTGAAATAGCGCCTCAGTCGTCCTTGATTTTGAAGCAGGAATGAAAATAAATCTTATTTGGTTACCAGTCTCCCAGAGTAACAGGTACGCTCTTCACAAGTTGCTCGAAATCTGTCAAAAAGTTTATCACAAGTTGCTCCAAACAATCCAGAATGTTTCTCGTTTCCTTCATTTGGTCTTAATATGTTAATTTGCCCCTCAGAAATAACTTTCTAAGCCGTTACTGATGCATTTTAATGGAACCCGAGTTACAAAATCGTTCGATATATCAAAATTCTGACATGGCAACGACGCTTTCAGGACAAAGTTCTATATTTGGTGGTGTTTTCTTTGTTTCCAAGTCCCTTTTGGGAATTGTGAGACGAAAGAAACTTAAAAAATTGCAATTTTGACCCGAAATCCTCGGATCCATGTTAGAATATTGATAAATCGAACGTGGCCCCGGTGAGTTATTCTCCTGAACTTTGTGGTCATCTTTAGGTTGTGTATGATTTTTTTTTCTCGGGCAATAGATTCTGCAAGAATTTTTTTAAAAAAAGTCAAACACAGGACTTGCTCTACATTTTTTTTCTACATACTTCCCTTGACAGGGCTCAACCCTCCCCCTCCTCCCCCCCTGGCCCCTGCCACTCCAAAAAAGTAATGGTCCGTTTTCCGGAGCTGTTCATAGCAAACGTTCATAAGAACTGAAACTTGGAAAAAGTGGGGCCGGCGCATTTCAGTTTTCAGCGAATGCAGTTGGCCTAAATCTTACCCCCTTTTGGCTTTGCTGTGCTTCTCTTCAGTTCTTTTAAAGTTTTAATCCGTCATTACGATAGTCATTTCACGACCAGTGGCACGAGTAGCTCAACTGGAATGGGTAAGATTGCGTGACCTAGCCATGCCGGACAAACTTTGTCATGTGACCTTGCTGGCACGAACATGGCGGAAACAAGGAACTATTTCACGAGCTGTTTCGTTCTGTTCATTTTGAGGCTTTCTTGCAGCAATGCAAACTCTTCGATGAATGGAACAGTATACTACGCTGAAGGGTAGGTTCTCTTTATGTTGTTATACGTTGTTTTTTTGACGGGTATTCGAGTTGTCCGAATTCGATGTCCTGTTATTAAATCTTACATATAGGAAAGCGGTGGCGAAACCGAAAGAATACGGAAAATCCATGGAAGTTCAGATTTTTTTCCAATTTTTAAGCTAGTGATTAGAAAGTATAGAGAAGTAACCAAATCAAGCAGTGCCTTTGATTTTCCATAACTCTGTGTGCTTAATTTTCTAGTAGATTCGCCGAAAAACGTAAGCTAGCCTTATAATGCCTTTAATTTGTTATGTAAGACTTTACTGAGCTTAAGCTTAACCGTCATTTAGGTTACTTTATCAATGCTGGAGACAGCTAGTTTTAATTTTGTACTTAACTTTTAAAGCTTGACCTGGTATTAGAAACTAATAACCAGGCAGCCGCTTTCCAGCATGTAAGCCTAGCGGACAAATTATTTTGTACCATAGGAATACCAAGTTCAGATGGCTTAAGTTTGTTCTGAGGAGGAGGGGGTGGTAGGGCTGAAGCCCTACCACAATTTTCGCTTTTGCTGATTTTTTACAGCGTGCAAAGACATGATAAACGGTAGAAAAGTGACTGTTTTAAATGCTTGGTTGACTTGACCAGATTTTTTAGACCTACTTGTACCACTTTAAAATGTATCATATTGTATCGTATTTCAAACTTCTGTGTGACTGTTTTACAAATGTAAATATTTCCGCAAAAGAAATCATTTCTAACAATACCAAATGTCGAAATCAAATTTTGAAGTTCATATGAAACGCTTGAAAGTACTGTTAAAATGAAACTGATGATGACATTTTATCTGTGTTTGCTCAATTTCTCAGAACTTCCTCAAGTTCCCATGAGAAATTTTTTTGGTGTTATTTCAGACATCTATTCATATCTTTATCGTTTAGAATTTAATGCAAAGGACCGCAATATACTGAAAATTTATTCTGGTACAAGGTTTTTGTCCACTTAAAACTGAAATTGCTCTGTTTCCTATGGGATTTTATCTTAAGATATTCACCATCCAAACTGACAGGTTTTTAAGATAATAGACCATTTTACAGTTGTCTGCTCAGTGACCTGGCCTTTGTATGGCAGTGAGGCTAGAGTTGACCTTGTTTTGATGCAGACCTCACTGCTTTTGTTGTGTAAAACAAGTTGTTCTAATGCTAACTAGGTGCATCTACATGACAAAAGCAGTGAGGTCTGTATCAAAACAAGGTCAACTCTTGCCTCGTTGCCATACAAAGGCCAGGTCACTGAGCAGACAACTGTAAAATGGTCTATTGAAAAATTCATGAATGACCGCTGATCAATTCATTGTTTTCAATAGGTTAATTTGCTTGCTTTTGGCACATCTTGATATCTTTATTGTTCTGTAATGTTTCTTCATGGTTATTCTCAGAGAAAGAATACCAAAGTTCAGTACACAAAACAGCTTTGCTTTGACTCTGTCACTGTTGAGGAAAATTCAGTGACTTTTCAAAGACTTGTGAGGGATTTCAAGAACTTCTCAAGGACTCTACCTGAAATTCAAGGACTTCTCAAGAATGTGCAAACCCAAGGCCTGTCAAAAGTTACCATTTCTGCTAGAAGCACACTTGGCAAATCTAGATGATAAATTCTAGATTGCGTGTTAGTGTTAATGCACTTTCATTAAACCAATGCTTTTTTGGCCTTGGACATTGGAATACAGCTTATAATATAATGGTTTTTCCAGGCCATAAGCACCAACACAAGTCAAATTAGAAGAGAAGTCTTCATTTGGGTAGGCTTGAATTCTGCTGCTCACCAAGGTCTCACAGGCTCCTTCCCACGGGCTCCTTCCCCTGGGCTCCTTTCCCTAACATTCGCTGGTAATCAAGTCTGCAATTGGAATGCGATGCACAAATGTACATACATCAAACCCAAACAACTGCAAAGCCACATGGTGCTGCTGCCTCAAGAGACTATTCTGCCACATCAGCAACACTGAGGCCAAAATAGTCTTTACATGTAATTTTATTAATGGTTTTGCCATTTTCATACTGATAGATTTTACCATATTCTCTTTACAGAAAGTATCACATAGAGTTTGGTATACTTGACAAAGACCATGGTGTAGCTTATGGGACGTATGAGGATGCAATTAACACCACAGGGTATGATTACAATAATTTATGTATACAGTGTACCGCTTATCATAATTGGCTGAGGGTGATACTTAACTTCTGTACGGTCGTGAACTAATGATTATGTGGAGTGTTAAGCTCTGGACTGAGCGTTCTGTATTTGCGCCCTAGCTATAAGCTACATTACTGTAAGCTAGAGAAGAGAATTAATCCCAGTCAGAGTCATTTGAAGTGTTAGATACATCATATTTTCTCACTTAAGTGCCTAGTTCCTCTTAAGGTCTACTTATAGTGCTCAGCTAGCCAGCTTAGTACACTGGCTAAAATCATATGTAGATACTGCAGACTTTTGTTATAAAATTATAAAATAGACTTCAAGAAGTCCCTCTTGTTTCCTTGAGTCAGGCAAAAATACAACAATGGCCTCCCACTAATCTGGAGTTTTGGGGGCCTGTTTTTCACACTGCATTTTTGCCTTTCACTCAAAGGCCTTTAATTTTGGGGCACAAACAGTTGTGGATCTTCTCACTGTCATAAACTGTTGTTAGGGTGACTTGGCAAAATGTCACAGTTTAGTAAACTGGATTAACTGCAGGTTGCTAACCCATCAGTGGATGTCTGTAGTACCCCATTCAGGAATAACAGCAATTAATTCAAATATGTATAATTATATAGTCCTGGTCGCTGGTCATGGTACATTGTGTAGAACGTGTGGTAGTGTATACCGATATGCACAGTCAGAGTGTCACTCCCAAAGGCTGCCTGGATTTTTCTTGTGTTTTTGTTGTCCTTTAAATAGCGAGTGATTGGCCGCCAAACTCCAGCCGGCAATCACCTCTTTCTCAGCCGGTGAATTTCGCCAGCAGCCGGCAATTAGTGGTAACCCTGGTGTTAATTTTTTTTCCTACACATCCTTAACCAGCTGTGAAGTAGAGAAGGTGTAGAAGTTGAATGATTATGATTAAGTTAAGAGGACTTTGGGTCAACTGGTATATGTATAGCCATTTTCTGGTGTCATTGTGTTTTGTTCTTGAGCAAGACACAACTACATGTACTATCACAGAGTCTCTTTCCACTCAGGTGAAGAAAATGGTTACCTTAGTTATCAGTGACAGTAAACTCTGGATTGTGTTAATATCGATCATCTCTTGCAGTGGTCAATACCATCTTTTTTTTAAACCACTAAGGAGAACAGAAATTACTTTTAAAAGCCAGGTTTAACAAGATAAAGGGTAAAATTCTTCAAAATAGAAAAAAATCTCCAATTTTGTTATGTCAAGAGAGCAAAAATTGGCTGTAAATAATCGTGCATTCAAACAAAACTATTAAGGGTTCGAAAAATCAGGATTCCACTGTTAGTAATGGCTAAACGCTTAAAGGCAACTGGTGATAGGCTCATATCTAATTGTGGGCAGTACTTCCTCTCACTTTATACTATTAAATAGAAGTCAGAATTTTAAAAAAAAAATTGCTGACCTGGAGGTTTGAAATTAGCCTTTAGCTTCCTCTAGGATTTGCTGGGCTTTTAGGATAGTTAAGCACAGACTGGGAAAAGCGCCTTGATGAAATAATAATAATTAATGTCTTATTATATTTATCAAATGTTTATTTGGTTTCTATGGTATCAGGAGGATAAATGAAAACTATGTGAATATCTATGATGAGTTCTTCAGTAAGTCTTCAGAATCCTTTGTGAAAACTGTTGGCAAGTGGTTCGATGCCCAGGTAAGTTCAGTACAGTCAAACCTCCCGTAAGTGGACACTCCCAGGACCAAAAGTGTCCACTTAGAGAGGTGAACATTCGCTTAAGAGAGGTGTCTGCTTATGAGACATTATGTGGCTGGGACCATTTCCAATTGTCCACTTACAGGATTGAGGTGTCCACCTAGGTTCGACTATACTGAGTATTCTTCTCTACCCTCTTTTAAGCCTGAGACCTCTTTAATCCACTGACCCCTTCTAACATCACCTGATCCCTGTTTCTTTTTGCCATAACATAATGTTCTACTTTAAATTTTTTTTTC